ACAGGAATAGAACAACCTAACAGCAATAAGAAAGACAGAAACTATACTCACTTTCCTTTGAAACTATTGACAATCAAGATAAGGAAAGAGAGAAGAAAAAAATGAAAGAAGAAATATGAATTAGGGCAATAACAGGAGCAAAAAAGGAGATGAAGAACAATGTGGCAGAGTGAGAGAGTGAGTGAAAGAAAAGAGAGGAAAAAGGAAAGAAGAAAGGAAGAACTTGAAAAGAGTAGAAAAAAGTAAAAATTAAAAATAAGATGAAAAAATAATTTAAAAAATAAAAAATAAAAATGAAAGGCCTCCTTCAGGGTATGTCTCTGCTGCCACAATAGACAATGTGGGCAACACTGTGCAGATCTAAGTCAATTAGTCTCTGCAAGCCAGCAGCAAACCCCTGAGATTTAAGCTGATTTCTAGCTGAAGGCCCATGTTGAGCTCCCTGACCTCCTGCAGTGTTGAATTCTGCAAGGTTCTACTGCAGGTTCCAGCTGCCTTTACCACGAAGAGAGTTCTGATGGGAGGTGGTGATCCCTCCAACTTACCAACTGTGGTGGTCTGGTGTGCCTTTATTGAAGAGATTATTTTCACTTTTCCAGTTGGCTTCAATTTTCACCAAGGAGCCTGACAGAGGCCCTCTTTTTGTTGTTCACTTCTGCTCTACCTTCTGGAGCTCAGGACAATAGCCTTTATGACCCCCTGTGCCCCTGTGCTGTGGTTCCAGGTAACAGCACAACAAGAGGCAGTGGGGGAGTGTTGTGGGGCACCCATGTGGTTCTACTCCTCACCAGTCCACACTGCTTGTAGGCTCTGGGTGGAGTACCTCAGCATGTCCTCACTGGTCCACTCTGCGGGGAGGCCCCTTAATAAGTTTTTTTTGGTGGAATCTATAGTTTTTCTAAATATAATTTCATGTTGTCTACAAACAGGGATTAATTTGACTTCCTCTTTTCCTACTTGGGTGCCCTTTATTTCCCTTTTTTAATTGCTTTGGTTAGGACTTTCAGAGGCCATTGTTTGATGTTCAGCAATTAAATTTTCTTGGAAAAATCAGTTTATTCTTTATGGTCGTCTATTTTTTCCAACAGGCTTGATTCTAGATAATTTTTGATGATTTCTAAATATCAAATCTACGATAAGAGAATTTTGAAATTGGACTCCATCAAGGCTGTTTAGAAAAATGTAACCAAAACTTTGAAGTCAATCTAAGAGAAGAAATGTTTAAAACAAAGACTATCATTGGAATGAATGGGGAGCTTGATAAGCCTGATTATTTCACAGTGATTATATTTTGGGTGTATTTTTAAAGCAAAATTTAGTAGTAAATTTGTATTTGAACGTTTATCATCTGGCCATGTACAATTTGGGTCTAAATCTTAAAAAAGTTGGCATTAAATGAGAAACTCAGGTTACACAGAGTCTAAATATATCCACTCTTTAAAAAAAAATTCTTTACTGATAAATGCTGTTTAAATGAAACACATAGAAGATGAATCCTTCATTTCCAGCTTTAGTGAGCTTATTCACCTTGGTACAGCATAAAAGAGGTCATTAATAGGGAGTGCTAACAAAAACTTGTGCTTTGGGATTTTTTTTCCAGGCCCAAAGTCACTTTATCACTCATTAGAAATGGTTGTCTCTTCTTAAACTTGGCAGACAGAATGGAAGACCAAGAGTAGATATTTCCATTTAAGACTTGGGAATTAACCTGGACAGAGGATGTTAAATCAAACAAATGAGTTAGAAGTATCAGTTGGGGGTCCATTCATTAATGTGATACATGTGTGTTACCTTTGCCCTGATTCTATATAACCTGCAGAATGTTGTTTTAAATGAAACAACATTTAAGATCAATTGTAAAATAGACTGAAGAATTAGAATCTTGACATTTCAATTTATGGGCAATCCATTTAATTTTACTAAATCTATCTTAAAATATCTACTCATAGGATGCTTCATAATTAAATGAGATAAAGACTCATAGATAAAACTACTATTACTAAAACATGACAGTCATAGCTTATGTTTATTGGGAACTTCCTAAGCATGTCACCTATACTCATTCATTTAATTCTCCTACAAATCTTAATGACTCTGTTTGATGATTAAGGAAGCTGAGATACAGTACATTGTAACTCCTTGAAAACTCTCAAACTCATTAAACAAATACTTTAAGTAAATATATTTTATTATTAACAGGCCTTATATTTCAGAGAAGTTTTAGGTTCATAGGGAAGAATGTATAGAGCATTGGTGGTGAACCTATTGCACATGTGTTACTTACTTTTCTTTTAAGACAAGAGATGTTAATGTGTGAATTGTTTTTTTCTAAGGTAAAATCTCAGTATTCAGCTTTAATTGCAGCGTTGCCACTTTGTGATAAATGAGTGGGTTTTGGGTTGTGGTTTGTGTAGTCAGTCTCTAAAAGGTTCACCATCACTAGTGTAGAGAGTTCCTATATGCCCCCTGTTCCCACACATACATTGCCTCCATGATTATCAATATCCCCTACCAGAGTGACACATTTATTACAAGTGACTAACACATTGATACATTATTATCATCCTAAATCCATAGTTTACATGAAGATTCACTATTCGTGTTGTACGTTTGATGGGTTTGGGCAAATATGTAATAACATGCATTTACCATTATAGTATCTTACATAATAATTTCACTGTCCTAAAAATTCCTTGTACTCCTTCTGTTTATCATTCTTCCCCCCAACCCCTGTCAACTGCTAATCTTTTTCACTGTCTCAATAGTCATCCTTTCACACAATGTTAGATAGTTGGAATCATACAGTATATTGGATCTTCAGATTGACCTCTTTTACTTAATTATATGCACTTAAGTTTCTTCCATGCTTTTTTATGGCTCAATTGCTCATTTCTTCTTAGTGCTGTATAATAGTATATTCCACTACCTGTATGTACCAAAGGTTTTTTATACACTCACCTACTGAGCAGCATCTTTGTTGCTTCCACGTTTTGATGATTATGAATGAAGCCCATGTATGCATTGTGTACAAGTTTTTCACAGACATAAATTTTTACCTTATTTGGGTAAATATCAAGGTGTATAATTGCTAGATTTTATTACAAGAGTTTGTTTAGTTCTGTAAAAAAACTATCAAATGTTTTCTAAAATGTCTATACCATTTTGCATTCCTACCAGCAATGAATGAAATTCTGTTGTTCCACATCCTTGTCAGCATTTGGTGTGGTCTGTATTCTAGATTTTGGTCATTCTAATTGTTGTTAGTGGTCTCTCATATTTGTTTTAATTTGCATTTCCTTGATGATTTTGTGATGTGGAGCATCTTTGTATACTGCTTTGACATCTGCATGTTTTCTTTGGGGAGGTATTAAAGTCTTTGGCCCAATTTTTAAGTCAGATCCTTTGTACTTATATTGTTTGATTTTAAGTATTCTTTGCATATTTTGGATAACAGTCCTTTATCTGTGTGTTAATCACTTTCTTGTCACTGGGATAAAATATCCAACACCCATTACTTAAAGGAGAGGAGGTTTATTTTGGTTTACGGTCTTTAGAGGATTCAGTCTGTAGTCAGTGGGCTCCAAAGTAGAAAGGGCATGGTGGAAGGGTTTTAGCAGAGGACAACTGCTCATCCCCTGGTAGCCAGGAAGGGGAGGGGGGGGAGGGGAGGGAGAGTGTGCTTAGGAAGGTGAGAGAGAGAGAGAGAAAGAGG